ATACATGCACACTCCATATACACATAAAGACTACACATACATACTCCACATATACACACTCTACATATACATACTTCACATACACACATCCAACACATACACACATGTACCTCACACACATGCATTTCACACATACATGTGTACTCTACATATTCATGCATACTCTGCACACACGTATCCATACATATACGTTCCACACACATGTATGGTCTACACATGCATACATGTCACACATGTCTGCCACATGTAATGTACACTCCATACAAATGCACTCCACATATGTACTCTACATATACATGCATACTTTCCATACACATGCATACCACATATATATCAACACATTCTACATATATACACCACATATACACATATACTCCACATAAACACATTCACACGCACAGCACACACACGTAAATGTACACATGCATATACTCTGTGTAAGTAGGCTCCACAGAGAAGCACACCACATACATATGTACACTCCACAGACACATACATTCCACATACACACTCCAGGCATCCGTGCACTCCACACTCCACACGTGTAGAGATCACCGGGTCCCATGAGCAGTCCACCACAGGTACCACTCCCCAACCCCTAAGAGAAACACGGGGGAACGCTGCCTTCTCACTCATTCAAAAGGAAAAAAATTTTAAAAACCACAAAATAAACAATCGAAGTCCGCTTTGCTCCTGTTAACCTCGTTAGTTCGCAGGCATTCCATGTGACCTCACTGTACGACGAGAAAGGTATGGAGACACCATAAACTAAAACAGCAAGCCAGTGCCAGAGGCTCCCGCCAGACCCCCTCAGCGGTCTTTACGGCAGGCTAAGCAGTGCGCTCAGTCTGTCCGAGGTGACCTGGTAAGGAGTGCTAACACAGCTCATAAACACTGTTGCCAGACAACCACGCGGCTACCGAACACGCGTGTGCTCAATCACCACGGGCTGGGGAAAGAGCTGGGTTCCCGCGGCCTGCTGCCCAGTGACACAGGACACTTCTCGGTGCTGTGCTTTACTTAATTTTTTATTACTTGCAAATGCTGTTTACGTACAAATATACGTGATGAGAGTACTTCTCCCGCCCCCATGCCTTCTAAATCTCGGTCATCCAAATTCTGATCATTATCACTGAAAACCTGGACGCTTTTCTTACTGAATCCACAATACCCAAGCTAGAGCCCACACGAAATATCAGTGACAGAGGCCGTCAGGAGCGACTTGCTGAGAGTGATATAAGGAATGAGGACGCGGCAGGAACACCCAGTGTCTTCCAGGGAAGGCAGGAAGCGTGCAGGCTCATCAACCTCACTTTGATCACAGAGCTGAGAGGGAGTTCCTCAACGTCATCCATACCTGCGGTTTACTGCAAGCGATCCTTCCTAACGTCCCAACTTCAAGTAATAATTCGGAGGAAATTAAACTTGATTTATTTGACTTCCACTTCCAGCCACACAGGAACAACGGATGTAACCGCCAGCCATAAACAATCAGAAAAGTGGAAGAAACTCTATACATCAAGCCTTCTCAGAGCCCGACAGTGCGGAGCACAGGCCCGCGGTGCCTGGGGCAGGGGACGCGGGTGCTGGGTCTCAGCCTCCCCGGCCGGCTGCCTTGCACAGCTTCTGGAAGCAGAGGCACAGGAACAGCCAAACAAAGCTCAGAGGCTCTTCTGAGTTCAAGACGAGAGACCAGGGAACAGGAGGCTGCAGTGACAGGAAACCACAGGGAAGAGCACAGACAAGGAGGGAGCTACGAAGGAGAACGCTCCAGAAGTCTGCACAGGGGGCCTCCTAAGACAAGCCTCTGCATACATGGAGTGGCGCTTCCCAAAGCCAGGCTGAGACCACCAGAGACCACAGAGAGCAGAGCTCCCAGCTCTGAACAGCACAGGGGTACGAGGGTGTCTCCTGGGAGTGGGACTGAGCAGTCCCTGGAATAAACTTATTCTAGAACCGCTGTAACCAAGCTTAAAACAGGCCTCGGAGGGACCCTGCAGGGACTGGGCTGCCTGCGAAAGCAAAGAAGTCCTGCATTCTGTGAGGGAAGACAACAGAACTCACACACTCAGAGCCGAGCGGTCACGGTGTCTGGGACACAAACTGGAGAAAACAACAGACGCGCCCATCCGCACGGAGCTGTGCGTCCTGACCAGGAAGCTGGGGCAAGCCAGTCACCAAGACCAGACCCAGGCATTTCCATTGCTGACACTCCGGGGTGAATACTAGATTTCAAAAATCAGAGGCTGAAGCCCGGGGCAGGCATTTGGCCTGGTGGGTAAGACACTGCCTGGGACGCCAGCACCCCACGCTGGAGACCTGGGTGGCCCAAACTTCTGTGAGGTGCGCAGGCGCGGAGGGAGGCACTCACTGTCGTAGGGGACGAATGCGCACAGGCTAGAGGTCCTTGTGGGCGTGGAGGGAGGTACTCACTGTCGTCGCGTCCGGACTGAAAGCTGCTTCCTCTCTTGAGCGACGCCGTCTGCGTGAGATGGGCCAGCGCCGAGGGGCGCCCGTCGCTCTCTGCATCCAGCATGGGGCTGTGCAGGCCTGGATTCCCTGCAAGACACGGGGCGCGCGTGAGCTGCCGGTGCTTCCTTGGCTGGTCTACTGTTACCTAAGGCATTTCTACTGAGAACAATAAAAAATATTTTCTCAAAAGAGCTTTTCACAGTCATTCCCACTGTCACAGATTCGGTTTAAAACAGATTTGGTTGCAACAAACTACCTGGCAAAACTCACGCAGCGTTAGAGAGTCTATGTTCAGCAAAAGCAAGGCTCAAAAGATCTGAGAGGGGCACATAGCAGGTAAAGCTGCCACCTGCAGTGCCAGCATCCTTCATGGGCCGCCGGTTCAAGACCCAGCTGCTCCATTTCCGATCCAGCTCTCTGTGATGGCCTGGGAAAGCAGTGGAAGATGGCCCAAGTCCTTGGGCCCTTGCAACCCACGTGGGAGCCCCAGAAGAAGCTCCTGGCTCCTGGCTTCGGATTGGCCATCTGGTGAGTGAACACGCGGATGGAAGGAAGACCTCTCTCTCTCTCTCTTTCCCTTCCTCTCCTTCTCTCTCTGTAATTCTTTCAAATAAAGAAATTTTAAAAAATCTGGGAAGAAATCAATTTCTACTACTTGCTAAGAGTCCTGATTCTTTTTTCTTTTTTCTTTTTAAGATTTATTTCTTTATTTGAGAGGCAGAGTAACAGAGTGAAGGAGAGACAGAAAAAGAGAGGTCTTCTATCTGCTGGCTCACTCCCCAAATGGCCATAATGGCCGGAGTTAGGCTGATCCAAAGCCAGGAGCCAGGAGCCTCCTCTGGGTCTCCCATACGGATGAAGGGGCCCAAGGACTTGGGCCATCTTCCACTGCTTCGCCAGGCCACTAAGGAGCTGGATCAGAAGTGGAACAGCCGGGACTCAAACTGGCTTCCACATGGGACGTCGGAGCTGCAGGCAGAGGCTTAGCGTACTATGCCACAATGCTGTCCCCTAGTGGAATAAAGAATTTTAAAGACTTACTAAGCTCCAGCTACTGGGCTAAACATTGTCCAAGGAGCTCTACTTTGGAAAACACTACATCTCTGATAAGAGTTATATAATCCAGTGTTCAGACAAAACACAAATATGTGTGATAATGGAAAATCAAACAGTAAAGAACATATATTCTTGGGGCCAGCGCTGTGGCACAGCGGGAAAAAGCTGCGGCCTACAGCGCCGGCATACCATATGGGCGCCGGTTCTAGTCCTGGCAGCTCCACTTCCGATTCAGCTCTCTACTATGGTCCGGGAAAGCAGTAGAAGATGGCCCAAATCCTTGGGCCCCTGCACCCATGTGGGAGACCTCGAAGAAGCTCCTGGCTTTGGAGGGGCATAGCTCTGGCTGTTGTGGCCACCTGGGAAGTGAACCAGTGGATGGAGGACTTCTCTCTCTCTTTCCCTGCCTCTCCTTCTATGTAAATAAATAAAATGTGTACATAGGAGCCGGCGCTGTGGTGTAGTGGGTTAAGCTGCTGCCTGCAGTGCCAGCATCCCATATGGGCGCTGATTCGAGACCCAGCTGCTCCACTTCCAGTCCAGCTCTCTGCTATGGCCTGGGAAAGCAATAAAAGACAGCCCAAGTCCTTGGGCCCCTGCACCCACGTGGAAGACCTGGAAGAAGACTCCTGGCTTTGGATCAGCTCAGCTCTGGCCACTGCAGTCATTTGGGGAGTGAACCAGGGGATGGAAGACTTCTCTCTTTCTCTTTCTCTCTGGCTCTACCTTGCTCTGTAACTCTTTCAAATAAATAAAATACATCTTTAAAAAAGAAACATATATTCTTGTAGTATTTCTATTTTTTTCTATATTAAAGAAGTTTGCAGAAGTTTTACTGATTTTCCTCCACATTTTCCTCTGAAGTTTCTATTAGTCACTACTACTTTTAATTGTAGAATTCAGGAAATGATTATCAAAACATGAGTTTTGACATATTTTAAAAGGACCAAAAACTTAGCATAACATCAGAAACACATATGGAAAATTATAATTTAATAGGATTAAGTGTCAAAGGGATCACATAAATAAGACCAGTGTCTGCTAATACTAACTGATAGAATTGAAAAGGAGAGAACGATCCAACATGGGAAGCAGGATACACAACAGACTCAGAGAATGGCAAATGTCCTAACCAGCACTCTGGCCTCAGATTCAGCCCTTAAGCCATTCAGATCTGGCTAAAAAGCCCATGAGAGAATTTCAGGCATGGAAAGCCAAGACACTATGGCAAAAAATGACCTACATGAAAGATCTCTGTGAGTGAGATCCCAGTGGAAAGAAGGGGCCACCAAAGAAGGAAGTACCTTTCTCTGAAGGGAGGAGAGAACTTCCACTTTGACTATGGCCTTGTCTAAATAAGTTCGGAGTTTGTGAACTTAAGAGGCTTCCATAGCCTTGGCAGCTCATGACAAGAGCCTCCGGTGATTACTGATGTCATAAGTAAGAGTGTCAATGTTGAATCAACAGGAGTCACTGTGCACCTGCTCCCCTTGTAGGACATCTGTCTTTAAAGTGTGGTACTATGAGAATTAACGATAAAGCTAGTCTTCAGATAGTACTTTATACTTTATGTGTCTGTGTGGGTGCAAACTGTTGAGACCTTTACTTAGTATAGAGCTGGTCTTCTGTACATAAAGATAATTAAAAATGGATCTTAATGAAGAATGGGATGGGAGAGGGAGTGGGAGACGGGATGGTTTGCAGGTAGGAGGGGGGTTATGGGGGGAAAAGCCACTACAATCCAAAAGTTGTACTTTTGAAATTTATATTTATTAAAGTTTTCTATAAAAAAGTTATACTTTATTCAAAATGTATGTTAGAAAGGGGTAGGAAGACAATGTAAATTTACCAGGTTAAATGTGTCTAAAAAGGTCCAGGCCTTCAGTCAAGAAGGAAAGCATTTCCCAGTTCCCTTTCGTTCTGTGAGAGGTCTCATCATCCGCTTCCTATGGCTCCGGGAGGGAAAGTTCGGCACCCACTGATGTCCTAACGGGCGGTCCAGCACCGCAAATGCAGCCCCGGCCCCGGGGCGCCGCCGGAGGACGCACTTCTGCCCAGCGGCCAGCAGGGGGCGCGCCACCCGTGCGGGAGGAAGAGCCCTGCCCGCGGGCTGCAGGACGCTTTTAAACACCGAATATCAAAGTAGTCACAAGTCACCTACTTCTGTCAAACAGAAGCTTTCAGAAACCTTGGACGTGAATGATATGAATTGATACTTCTCCCCAGAAAACTGCGGCAAACGAAGCGGCTCTGATGGCAGGTGGGCGTGACTACAGCCCACAAAGCGAGAAGCAGGCAACTCCTCCCAGATGCAAGAAAAGCGGCGGAACTGCGGCCGCCTGGGGTTCTGCGGACCTCTACTGCACAAGGACGAGCCGCACCCAGGAAAACGACGAAGTTTCCTCTTCCAAGCAGCTCCGCAGCCGCGTTCCCTGCCGGCCACTCTGCCCCGAGCCCGAGGGCAGCGGAGCTCCGGGCTCCGCAGGCCCACCCTGGCCTCTGTGCTTCCAAAGCCGGGCTGCGGATGGAGTCTGAGAAGCCACATGTTCTCTCGGCAGTAAATTCGCTACACAGGACTACTCCTAGGATTTTCATAGATGGATTTTTTAAAGCCTTCTGTGAAACAGGAGGTTGTTACTTGCATGCCTTTCTTTGACCCAATACTAATAAACTGCCCCCTAGATTTTAAACTGGGGCAGGTGTTAATTCTAGCAAGAATTCTCCAGAATCCTGTAGCCACTCACCATCTCAGGCTATAAAAACCAGGGCTCTAAACTATGTGATGTGCAGTATCGTTAGCTGTGAATTCTGACTCTAAAAGTTTGACTCTAAGAACAAAACGGGAAAAATTCATAATCTGATCAATGTTACTACAACTGAGAGACTGATCAGTGGTATTATTATCTTAATGTACAAGAGTTTGCAATGACACTGTATCACAAAAATATGAAAAGCGAGAATTTTTTCAAAAGGAAAAGTTTACCAGAACTTTATACTAAGGTGTCATGGACTGAACAGCCTGGCTGGCTTACGGCCACCATGCACAGTAAGCAACAGAGAGGTACTCCAATGAGAAGCAAGATTAGTCATCTGCCTGCCATCTGCCTGCCATCTGTCAGTTACCTGAGGATAACTACAGGTGCTATCACCCTGGAGACAAAATTACAACCAGGCACACAACCCTGCAGCGTGAGAAATCGGCACATTCCTATTTCTAAGATTCTGTGCGGTAGGAGAAACTACACACAATTCTAGAAGTGGATATTCTTAGGGCATAGTTGTGTCTAATTACACAACCTAGTACTGGAGTTGCAATTTCATCCACATAACAAAGAATAAACATATCTCATCCACAAATACTTGGGAAAAACCCTTTAAACACTTTACACACACACACACACACACGATTATTGCTGTCAACAGTCAATATTTTATTTCTCCATTTAAATAAAGCTTCTATAACATGGCAATGACATTCTCAAAGGAAATTATTTTTTCCTTTTTGTGAGTATGCAGACACGTTTAACAAATTATCAACAAACATGAAGGTAGGAAAAATTATTTCTGGAATACTACTCAGACATGGAACAGAACTTTTGTTTTAGTAAGAAAAACCGCTGAAACGTCCGTTTTCGGAGTTTCAGAGGCTGCTCTTTTTTCGAAGCACTAATGGCCCGGTCACTTCACCGGGAGGGTGAAGGTGCAGCCCAGGAATCACCAGGCTTCTGCAAAAGCAAATAAATGCCGGGTCCTCGCAGCTATTTCTCCTGGAAACCCCTCCACCAGCTCCCCACTCCGCAGCTGACAGGGCCCCGCCCAGGGTTTAGAATGAATCCTTAAAACACAAAACAAGAAACCAGCCGGGCTCCCGCCTCGCGGGTCCAGCGCCCCTCACCCCGCAGTCGCCCGCACTGGTTTCCCCGCGCAGCCGGGTGGGGCGCCGCATTCCTTCCGCACACGCAGGGATCTCAACGCCCCGGGCGGGCGGGCGTGCGAGGCAGGACGGGCTCCTGAACAGCTCTCCGAGCTCC